GGCAAGCATGCTCCACATCCCCACATCCGGCAACTGACCAAGGCTTGGCATACAGTGCTTCATCAGGAGGAACCGGTTTGGGGTTTACGGTGTAGACGGGTTCAGGGTTTACGCTTGGGATTTGGGGCTTAAGGGCTTGGGTTCGATTTGGGGTATACCTCCACCAGTAAGGTTCAGTTCGGGGTATACTCTTATCATCATGATTCGGTTCAGGACATGCTTTCCTTAATCTGGTTACTGTGTCCATGGCTATGTCTCATAGTCCACAAACGCCAACCCTACTACGCCCAACATCGTCGGTATCCTACATTGAAACCTGACACTGACTGCCCACCCTCATAAATGCAACTTCATGACCTGCAGAAGGACAACGACAGAAGCTCACACCGGTTGAGGCTTTCAGAGCTGACCCCTGTCCTGGCAGGCCCTTTGAAGACCAAAGCTTTGTGATGGCTTGATACGAAGGGGGTTGTACAAGGGAGCTTGGGGTTACGCGCGTACACCGGCACACTGACCAAACATCGGCAACCCCCTAAACTCAATCTAAGAAGCGCTGTTTGCACAACCCAGGCTCAAGACTTAGGGCCGTGGTGTTTCGAGTGTTCGGGAGAGAGAAAGGCTGTGGCGTTCGACGTGTAAGCTTGGGTTTTCCAGATGCAAAGCTGGCGCCCGAGATGCATGGCACCACGCAATTTGCATCTCAAAAACCCACTTGTGCCGGTTGAGCCAATATGATGTACTAGTTTAGAAGTTTAGCATTTTTACTGGTTTTCTACTCTTCTACCACGCCCCCCAGCAGTTCGCATCTCGGCCGGTTGAGCCAGGCAAGCAGCAGAAAGTTTGCATCTCGAAAACCGACCTCTGAGTGCATGTCGAACCCCCAGGTTTACTTTCTATCGTTAATACGTAAAAGCGTTCTTCGCCATCTGGGAGCTCGGGGTGTTTGCCCCATTACGCAGACCAACTCCTGCTTCCGCTGTCGGATCGCCTTTGCAGCCGCTACACCGTACTGAAGCTTCCAGTCGCGGAATGTCTTCATCAAATGACTCCCACGCTTTCGCTGCTGTTGGGTCAAGGGTGGAGTTGTGGTGCTGCTGGACTCATTCCAGTCCCCGTCCGCTTGAAGCCGATCCTCGAGCAGCTTGGAGATCATGGCCCGTCTGAAACCCCAACTCCTACAGCTATAGCTGGTCCTGCACTCAGGGTATCTGGAGAGCCCAACTTTCCTTATTGAAGAAAGAGGCTCTCAATAACAACTCTTCCTGAATCAAAGGTTACTGGGATTTCTGGCAGCACTGAGGCTTGAAGGTTTCCCAAAAGTGATCCCTACACCCTGGTTACGAGTTCGTGAACACAACCTTAGCGGAGAAAGGCTAAGTGAGAAACATCCATCCTCGGATCTGTAAGGCATGCAAAACAGTGCAGGATTTAATCCATCAGCAGCAGGATTTTGAATTTTGGGCTCAAGGTGCCTAGGCCCTCGTCTAGGGTCCAGGGTAACTTCCACAAAGTTTACAAGGGACCCTTCTTTACGAGACGCTGAACTGAGGGATGGATTCAGAGGTCTCACTTTCTGACTCCAGAATTCCCTGAACCCTCTCCGGCACAACTCCTGCGAAGACGCCGGCTCTTCGGCTTGCCGGTCAGGCACCTGAATGCCAGGGAACTAGTAGGTACTGAAACGGTCTGCGTACATCGTCGCTTTATAGATGCCAGTTATGCCAGAGATCGAGAAATATTGGCTAAACACAGTTGTAGCGATGTTGCATGTTGGATTCATGGCGTGGCTGAGCACTACAGCGAAAACCTTACGACACATATGACATAGTGAGAGACAAGGCTTAGATGCATTTGTCTGTGTATGTATGTATGTATGCATGTATGCATGTATGCATGCATGCATGAATGTATATATGTATGTGTAGATCTGTATATGTACGTATATATATATATATGTGTATATACATATATATCTATATAGTACGCTTTATCCTATATATGTATATTTGCATAGTACTGGCGCCCCCCATTGATGTAATAAGTATGTGGCAACCCTCTTTGCTGTTGGACTCTGACAGTCTCTGTTCACGACATGCGTTTGTTCTTGGCGCACCCATGGAATGCTGTCAATGTGGAGGCGGTCATTCGTTTCAATGACTCCGATAAACAAATCCGACACAGGAATGCCAAGGAGGTTAAAGCCTCTTCGTCTTTCGGATCGAAGTGCCGTTTCGGAACTCAGAACTTTAGAAGGCTTTTTCTTGGCAAAACCTGCCCCCTGAAAAAAAAACAACAAACACAACGACTTTGAGATCTGTGCTTGCGCTGATCTTCGAGTCGAACTGCTTGCATCCTTCCTGGGCTCGAAGTTTAAGTTCAACGCTGCGAGGTCTTGGGCTTGGGTCTTTAGGAATTCAGCTTTTGGGAGTTTAACATGACGCGACAAAAGGCCTTCATGACTGGCTCCCCCGAAGGGACATCTTCCACATATGCAAGATCCCAAAAGATATCGAAAGGAACTCGATAAAACTCAACCCAACCTCTCTCACACGCACTGCAGAAGACAGTTAGAACATGTCCACAAACAAACCCGAAGGATTGTAAAGCTGAAACACTTGGAGGCCGGGCTCCAGGATACACTTCCATGATTCTGCCGACTCCGCCAAACCCTACAGCCTACAAGGCAAAGCAAACCATCCCAAGCCTTAAAGCCCAAACTGCAAGACACCCATAAAATCATCTTTGGTTTCCCAATGCCCGAGCGCTGACCCCTTACCCTTACTTAACCTGAAAAGTGCTAATGTGCATTAACGGGCTGAACATTAGTCGTAGTGTTCCCATTTAGTCTCTATTGAAGTACATTATAAACCAAGACCCTAGGCTGCTCATTCAGAACCCTGTTTTGGCTCCCTGGTCTGTGGAAGCTCCGTGACTGTGACTAGGAATTAAACTTCTACGATTCAGGGTTTAGGTGTTTAGGGGTATCGGGCCTTAAGTGCCTTGGGGCTTCATGGCTTAAGGTGGTTTCGGCTTTCATGGGGTTGAGGGTAGCGTTAGCTTCAGGCTTCCGGGCTGGATGGTTGAGGGTCGGGAAGCAGCCTTTAACCAAGAGCGTGAGTAAGGGCATAAGATGTCCCATTAAATTGTAGCTCAGCATCGCAAGGGATCGGTCGCTGATAGACACGCAGATGTGAGTCTCCGGGCCTCATGGACAAGGAAGACTCTGTTGTAAGGTCCGCTCATTGTTTCCATTCTGAAGGTGTGTCATGCTTACGTATTCAAGCTTTTGGCGTTCAGCCTCTGGGGTTTGTACATCCCCGACATTTTGTGCATAGAACACATCTCCCATACTGCAGAAAGAAACCAACATACAAACACCCCCCTTAACCATCTCCAACCCACACACGCATGCACGCGCACGCACGCACGCACGCACGCACGCACGCACGCACGCACGCACGCACGCACGCACACCCACACCCACCCACCCACACCCACACCCTCCCGCAATTTCTCGCGCCCCCCTTGCACACCAACAATGCAACCTCATGCAGCACAAGTGCACCAGGTGGAATGCAGAGGCCGGATAGTGAGCAGTTTCAAGTGCTTCTTACCGGCTCAAAGCTGACATGATCAAGAACATCATTGCAGGCATAGGCAGATCTCGATGCTCGATTTACAATCATTTCGGAGAACCTGCAACTCTTCGGTCGACTCTTCCTACCGAGATGCTTCGCTTCGTGCAGCGTCCATGGAGCCGCCCGATGTGAGTTGCAGCTCGAGAGAGCACCTTGGCATGCCTGCTGCAAGTCACGGCGTAGAGTTCGTGAAGTAAAAGGAGTGGAGTCCGCATGGAGACTAAATACGTGCAGGGACAGGCAAGCCGCGTAATCATGTAACAACCACTCCAAATCGAGGTGCTCTCATGGCGACACAGCGCGAAGTCTTACGGCATCATGGCACTGTCTACAGTTGACCATGCAGGCTGCAAGTATCACGTGAGAGATCAGCTTTGCAGCCTTCACAATCCTTCATACCAGAGCTGAGGTACGAGACAGAGTCCCCAGCAGCGGCGCCGCCGCTCGACAGATTTCGATTCGCCGAGTCCGTTTGGAAAGCCTTAAGTTCTTAAAGCTTTCGTTTTCTGGCACCGGCAATTAGTGCTACTAGTCTCAGCTAGCCTTGAGTAGTCTTATGTTTGGTAGACACAAGACTTGCCATCTGTTCGACAGTCAAGGCGACCCTCGCAAACAGCAGAGGAGCTTCATGGACTTCGGCAGTTTCCCGAACTAGCCTTCGCAACAACGACAGAACCAAAATCTGCTTCTGAAATTCCCACATGGAATGCCTGCATGTTTTAGCTGTAGGTCCAGTCTCGTGGGAAGTGCGCGCTTGCGAGTCCGAGGGCAAGCAGCCAAAAATAAGGAAATGCAACAGCATTCGTGCCTGCCACTTTCTATGCACCTTGCTTTGCTGTTGTGAGTTTGCCTGTCAGGAGCTGTTTGCCCCGCAGCCGGGGAAGAGCTTCGGCGTGTTGAAGCTTGCATGCAAGTGACGGGAAGTCAACGTTGGAGACCGCAATGGACGCTTTTCCATCTCGACCAAGTTGATGCTGGACCCGCTGACACCTTGCAAATTTTTGCAAGTCACGACAATAACGACAATTGCAAATGCTTCGCGTTGTCGGCCTCGGCCTGGTCGCCGTGAGGGCGAGGCAGGGGACGGGGGATCTCTGACCGCTTCGACCGCGGCCGACGAGAATGAAGGCATTGTTCATGGTAGATCGCGTGTGTTTTGCCGGATTGCTTGCGTCTGAGGACCGCAGTGGTGCAATTAGCTGCTTGTTAGCACGCATGGTCAAAATCCTGCCATTTCTCTGACTCCCCAAGGTGTTGCCTGGAGTTGGGCTTCAATCTTTCAGTTCGCTTCGCAGGATTTCTTCGGAAGCTCATTCTCTTGTTCGAGCCTTAGGTTGACATCTCAGCTTTCCCCGGCCCAAGGCTTTCATCGCAGCTTTCCACAAGTGCAAGCTGCAAGAAGATGCCGATGCTGCATTGGGTACAGATACATCCCTGTACCTGGGCCTCGTGGCAGCAGACCACCTCCAAGTAGCTGTTTGGGGGGTGACTACATATGACCAGTGGTGCCGAGAGACGCAAAGTAGATGTCCAACGGCTGCACCAAGCTGCTCCGCGCAAGAGCGCAACTTCCTGTCCTTGCATTCAGGCGTTTCCCTGATGATCTTCGTGGGCTTTGGCTACCTGAAAACCTTTCTGAAGGCGTGGCATCGCCCTTGCGCCACCTTGAATGGTCTTCAACTCCTACTGTAGCTGGTCCATGCTGGTCCTAGCTGGTGCCGGCTGCAGAAGTCCCTTGCATTCCCTGCTTTATGCAGCAGCCTTCAATTCTACACTGCATTGCGAGGCCTACGGCCTCGGCGCCGTCGGCTTCACGCTGCCAAGCTGATCTAGAGTGCGAGTCTAGGATTTCAAAACAGAAGGCCGGCTACGAATATATACACGGAATGCAGGGTAAGCCAGGATAAGCGACAGCGTCGTGCGGAATCGGGAGTCACGAGCCACCAAGGTTGCAACAGCCAGTGTGTCAGCCGGTGCTCGCAATGTTGTGACAGGCTGCTGATCTCCGGTGTGGGGATCCAGTGGGCGCTGATCCTCGAGTCTTGCTTGCGACAGGCTGTCGGCGTCATTCAAGGGAGCCCATGCGGTCCTAGCAGATTCGTTCAATTTCGGAGCCACGGCCAAGAATGGTTAGTGCCAGTGTTGATGCTTGCCCACACTTCATAACGCTTCTTTGCACACAGCTGGTGAGACGAGAATGCTGAGTTCTGTGTGCTTTATTCATTCGGTGCTTGTAGCATTTCTTTTCAGGGGCTCGGTCAGTCTTTCGCTGCTCGGGTCGATTCAGACCTCTATGCACACGCACAGGCGAGCCAAAACAAGAGAGCGAACTACACGCACGAAAGCGACAGAGAAAGAGAGAGAGACAGAGAGAGAGAGAGAGAGCGGGCGAACGCACTGGGGGGAGAGGGAGGGAGGGGTGCCCTTTAGTCGGCTAGGCGAACCGAACCGGCTCTGGAATCTTGTTCTCTTTCCTCGTCATACACAATGATAGGATTTGCGAGGGTGATAGTGAGGGTGATGGCACCTTGCAAGGCGGATTTTACCATTGATTTGCCAGCGCTGCTGCGCGCCAACATTGACGTGGTCCCTGCGCCTGGGCAGCACAAAGCCGCTAGGCACTGCTAGGCAGGGAGCCAGTCATCCAAGTGCAAGGTCTTGGTGTCCTTTGGCGCGCTGATCGGCCCGTGGCTGAGTAGAACCTCCATGTAGTCGGCTTTGCTTCGTCGAATCTCCGTACAGAGTTGGAGCAGAACCGCGGTCGCTTTGTCGAAAGTGTGCATGAAGCCAGGCAGGGTTTCTCCGCTGCAGATCATTCTCTTGGTGATGCAGTGGGCTCGGATGTTTCGGAGACACCAAGAGCTGTGGGAGGACTACGGTTTATTAGTTAGCCACTTGTAAATTATGCGGTTGAGGCCTCCGGTGCGTGTCATGACTGAGGATCGAGCTGCCATGCTTCACCGTTCACAAGGCCAATTAGAGTTCGCGCGAATTCAGGATCTTGCGATTCTGTTGCGGTACAGAGCCTCACGAGCGTCCCTGAGGTCTGCTTGCTGAGACAGGGTGACCCTTGGATCGCAGAAGTATCGACGGTGTCGGCTTGAAGCCTTTGTCGATGAGGAAGCAAGGCCTCTCGTCCACGATGGTGGTGGGACCTTCTTGCATGCCACTTGGCTTAGTGTGTCGCTGCCTGCCTGACCTACCGTGGCCTTAAAGGATGCACGCCGAGGTCTTTGGTGCTTACTTCGGCCTTGCCGCTGCTTCGAGCCTCGGACCGGCCGGAAAGGACCCGTCCAACAAAAGCACAAGCCCAGCAAAGAAGGGCGGGAGGCGGGAGGCGCACATGGCAAGTCTGGCCCAAAGGTCCAGAGTGTCAGCCGTGCAAAGGGCCCAGTTCTGGATGTAGTAGACTAGTAGATCATTGATCATAATGTCGTCTTGTGAATGTTTCGTGGATAGACTTAAGAAGTCGGGTATGCCGGCAGGAGAAGCTGAGGAGCAGCTCCTACCAGCCGGGCGCCTGCAGAGAGAGGAAGCTAAGAATGTGGAACGTGGAATGGGCTTCTCAGGTCGGACATCCTTGCCTTGATTGGCACAGTCTTTCTTTGGATGATGCTTGGCTGAGCATGGCATTGTGTGTCTGATGATGCCGCCCAACACGCAAGCATGTGCGTTCCATGCGAGGTCATGGCCGAGCTTCGTCGCTGCTGGCCAAGCCACGAGAGCGGCGCAACTCCAGGATCGAGAAGTATAGACTTTGCGGTCGCATTGAGGGCTTTGTGTTATGAGGCGCTCCTGAACACTGTGCTGGCACTCCTGTCCTCGACTGTCATGACCTTCGGCTTGTCACAGCTGCTGCAGGCCTGAGGCATGAGCTCGCATGTCCGGCAAGTTGGTTTCAGCGGACAGGATGGCCGGCTTGACCCGCAGACGGTACAGAATGCTACTTTGGCAGGAGGTGGGATTGAAGTGGTCCTGTGGCACTGCTTTGTCGACCCCTTGCTGCCTTGCCCGAGGCGTTGCTATCGGCGCCACAGCGAGTGTGGTGGGACCGTTTCCACCTTAGGAAGAGTTTTCATGAAAATGTGCTTGCCATGTGCTGCCTTTTTGGCCACTCATCCTGCACAGACAGTTCAGGTTTGGTGCTGCCGCCCTGGGCATGATTGCTGGGTCTTTGCCAGCTGCTCAGAGTGCCGAAGCAGGCAGAAGCCGACAGCGCGCCTGTGGCCTGTGGGCTCATGAGGAAGAAAATGAACTGATTGCCAGAGCATGGGTTCCTTTGTCAATCTTGATGTCCGTCCGACCGTCCAGTTGTAGGCCTTGCGGCCTTGCATTTACACTTGCCAAGCTGTAGAGAAAAGCATGGAGGCAGACAGGGGGGCGAGCATGCATGTGCACAGTTGTCTCTAGACTCTCCTGACTCATCCAAACCCAGAGGTGCGATAGCGGCATTTCGCGTCCGGTGCACTGTCAGCCTTTCTGGCCTAGTCTTCTGCCCACGAACCTCTATTACTGTGCCTCACTGCCAGCACATCCGGCAGTGAAGTATCGGCAGCGTGACGAACTCGGCTCAGGGCGACTGTGGGCTTTGCCCTTTCGCCGTTGTTTCGTGTGGTTGACACATGCGCCTTGGCTGCTGTGGATCAAGTTTCTTACGGGACTGCGATTTTCAAAGGCTGACAGTTGACTCGTGTTGACTCAAAGGGTATGCTTTTTCTTTGGATAGCTTTCGCAGCCGCGACCTCCCTGAAAAATGATGAGCATCAACTGAGACGCCTCGGATATGTAGCTTGTGGCATGGGCTTGAACCACAATTGAAGGGTCAGTTCTGCACCACATGGGCTCTGAGGTCATACTCTGTGACAGTTCGTCAGTATGTAAATCACTCTATAATGTCCAGCTCAACTCAAAAGCCTCCATCATCTTAGACACACCCAAGCACCCGCAACGCTCCAGACCTCGAAGTTATGTTAGCTCGCGCACTCAGTACCTTCTTCTTTCTTTGTTTTTCTCTTGTCCGGCCCCTAGGCGGCGTGCATAACTTGCACGGCATGCCCGGCATCTTGGGAGGCGAAGGGCAAAGTTGAAGTGCTGCGTGTGCAATTAAGAGGTGTTGCAGGCAGGACCGCTCCAAAGGAATGAAAAGCAACGTGCGGCTTGCGTCGGATTTTGACCTACGGAGCCACGACAGTCTGCTTTCAAGAGTTTTCGGAGGGATGGATGCTTGATTAGAAAGCACCAATTGATTGTCCCAACATCTAAGCAAGACCTGCACAAAGTCTCGCCCAAATCCCCTTAGCGTAGGGGGGTGGAGGGGGGAACCGAGAGTACCACGCCACAGAAGGACGTGGAGAAATCTGAGGCGAACCTGTTTATTCATATGTGTTGCGGGGGCTGGCACTTCATCCCACCCCCGTCTCACCTTCGCAAAGAAAACACGTGCTTCTTGCCGAACACCCTGTGTGCGGTCTACCCAGTGAAGTGACACTTCACCCCGTCTTGGCCCGCATTCTTGACTGCATAGGCCGAAGTTTAGAGTCCTGCAACTTGCTGCGGGTTCGGAAAGAGACCAGCTCACTGCAACTGCACTTGGTCGTGTGTTCATGCTCACATCCTACCCGACTCAATTGAACAGCTAGCAGCTACAGGTAGCTAGCCCGTCTAACTTGAAGTAAACCAAGTCAATCGACAAGTGGAAGCCACTTCAAACGTGGAATCAAACCGAGGAGGCGCTGCTGCATTTTCGCTGCAGGATGTTCGACTTGTCTTTGAGAAAAGGACCACCTGAGCTGAAGGACGTAAAACCTCGAACCAGTCTTGGCGAGGTGCAGTCATGCGAATTATTGAGCGTATGGAGAGGAATCCCATTTAAACATTCTCAAACCAGGATGTTTCGCTAGTTAGTCCGCTCGCAATTAGCCATTTGTGCAGTGCCAATACTACCGCGCCAAATCGGAGGCACGAAACAACCACAGCCCGTGTGAACGGTTGCGCCCGCAATGTTGGCGAGCACGTGAAATTGCCAGAGGAGCACTGTTTACATCAGTTACATCTCCTCAGCACGACATCTAGGAACATCAGGTCACAACGCATCATGAAAACTGCTGCAGGTCTGCAGAGCCCACTCCACTGACGCTAATTGATCTGTGCCGTAATGTTCCGGTTACTGGAGTTGAGACATGCGAGGCATCTACTCAGTGCTCGTGCCATGGTGGTATCCTCAAAGCGGATACGTGACTGGCCCAGAGACGTTTGCTTCTGTAGGACTGTAGGCTTCAAGCCAAGCTGTTGCAAGCACAACTTCGGGCTAGAACTGATGAAGCTGCTTCAGAAGAATCACGCCGCTGCCTTTCGTCGGTGTGCATCACTGTCCGGAGATCACATCGGCCATGCGCCATTGGAAGGTATCGTCACATCAGTGGGTTGGCCTGTCACTCGACGATATTCGGGCCGCGGCTAAAACAATTCAAGTATCAATCAGTCGAGTCCATGTACATGCTGGGTTGGCAGGCACAAGACCTCGACGTCTTGGTTTCGCTCTTCCTCTGTCTAACTGAGGCTTCTCACACTGGCAATGGCTGGCATTAGTGGATCCTTGTGCGGGTGTATCTTGAAGGCCTGACGCTGTAGTGCTCACACTAGGGAATCGGATACAAGAATCACGTTTTGGGCAGCCACATTGGGGGTCTTGCATTTCGGAACAGGGCCTGGTATGTATACCGTCTGCTGCGAAGTGCCCGCCGATCTAAGACATCACAGGGGCTAGCATGTCGGAACCGGGCTTCACTGCTGGTTCTGCATCCGCACTGGTTGTTTGTTTGGGGTCCACATTGTGCCAACACATGGCGTTTGACTTCTGCTGACTGTCTTTACCCTGTCCTTTGACAAACGTTGCCTCGGTCAGCATGTTTGGCGATGCCGATGCTTCGGGCAGCATGAGACTGGCAGGGAAAACTCGGTCGGCGGTTCCAGCCGGCATACTCGAGCAGCACAACGCACCAACCGATTCACAAGCCAGTCGTGCTGAAAGCATCAGGTTTGGCCGGGTCTGGAAGCTTGCGGTACAGACGGCAAAACGTAGAGTCTACACTGGTGTGTAGGGTTATTTGACGTGAAGGTCCGCAATGCTGAGAAAGCACTCGGGTCATGTTTGCACAGACAGATATGTTTTTTAAAGTTGACCCTTTTTTATCATGTTTCTTTGGCCGCCTTCGCAAGGCCTCTAGTGACGTATAAGCAGAGTACAGTAGTTGCCAAAATGACCGCTGCTTCGCAAGCACTGAAGTTTGCTACATCTCCCAAGCCTCTCTCAACTCCTCGCCGGGACAGGCTGTGGAACGCTTAGAAGGCAACGAAGCGACGCGGCTTTTAAAGTCTACTGGGCAGTCGATAATTTGTCATTGTCAATGAGCTCAAGCTCTACTTTGGCTCAGGCACTGAAGCGAGCGGCGGAGGCGCAGAGAAGTTGGTTTAAGTGGAGTTTTGTATAATGTTGAGTCGCACGGGCACTTCGTGCATATTGAAGTTTTGGAGGCTGCTGAATTCCAATCGCGCCGTTAATATCCAACATGTTTTTGCCGCGTTAGGGATGTCTCACAGTCTTGTGATCCAGGTTTTGAAACGTGACTACTTCAGACACATGGTCGTAAAGTTTATTCGCCTCGGGCTCGGGGTTGCAGTTTGCTTGAGTCTGAGTTTCAATCGAGCCCCTCGCATGGCTTAAAACATGCCAAGACCACCCTTGAGAGTTGACGGGCTCGGCCCCAGAGTCGGAACAACCATGAAAGTTCAACTCCTGAGTAATTAAAGCCATTAAGAGAAGGTCGAGCAGGCATTTGTACTGATGTCTGATGCTGCGGCCAGATGTGGCGGTGTGTTTCAATCCAAAGGAAGTTCTTCAGAAAGCGGCAGGATTTCTTGATCCAAAGAATCTCAACGGAAGCACTTTCGAGAAATTTCTGCAAGACTGCAGTTGACACCCTTTCCCTACCCGCGCCGAACCTTTCTAAGTAGAGATGCAAGCACACGCAGACTTGTGAAACTTGGAGCCGCTGCTACTGTTACCTCTATGACTGCAACAAAAGCTGTGCTACAGTACCAACACTGTACCAAGTGGTACTAATGCGAACTACCACCCTACTGAACTGCTACGACGACGACGACGACTACTACTACTACTACCACTACCACTGCTGCTACGACGACGACTACTACGACTACTACATACTACTACTACATGCTGCTGCTGCTGCTCCTCCTCCTCCTCCTACTACTACTACTACTACTACTACTACGACTACTACGACGACTACTACTACTACTACTACTACTACTACTACCAGTAGTACTACTACTACTAC